CAGCACAAATATCCATTTTGAACGAAACATGCGCCTCCCCTCTCGTGGTGGGTCAATGCGAACGAGGGGCAAGCGTTCGCATGCAAACAACGTACAGGGCACACATAGCAGCGATGGCTGCTGTAGAACACCGCCTTAGAAATTACCCCAGCAACCCGGAAGCGAGTAGTACGTGACTCGCCCGGAATGGTGTAAGAGAGAGGGTCGAGACAAGGCAAAACTGCAACTCTCTTGAATCCGGTTCTCTTACTCAGCAGGGATAAGCCACGGATACGAAAAACACTACAACACTTTTGAACCGGAGCGGCTGCTACAATAGCTCTGTGGCAGAGAACATTCTACAACGTGTACTCGTAGATTACATAGACTAGTCACTTACCGCCGGTGTAGAATGAGAGTCGATCTGCGAAGACGTCAAGCACCAGCTGGAGGTCGTCGGGAGCCACCTTTACATTAGATTACATTACATTAGATTAGATTAGATTAGATTAGTTACGCGGGAGTTTGTATTCGTTTTCCAGTCCAGCAAGAAACACACGGGGAAGGCGTTGGCAAGTGAGAGACGGAGAGGCAAGATGGTCACGGCGGGGAAGAGGATGGTACAAGCTCGCCCGTAAGGAAGGTAGGGCAAGAGGGCGGCCCAGTCATACCATGCAGAAACGTTCGAGGATTTCCTGTAAATCTACAAGTGTGTATATATCCTTTCTTGTGTAGTTGTTAACTTGTGACCACGGACGGCGTCCATGTCAGTTGGACCAGTACGGACGTTAGAAGGTGCTGAGCGGACACCGGAACGTTTGTAATGTGAAGATAGACGGGACAATAACAACAACAACAACAACAACAACAACAACGACTTCGAGACGAGGCATGATCAACCTGAAGAACCAAGATACGACTGCAAAGTAGATTGAGTGAAAGCTCACCTGAAGGAGCACCTTGAAGTAGTCGAAGGCGAAGAACTGTAACGCGATGGCAGCTCCGAAGAAAAGTGCTCTCAATCCCAATCCACTACAGCAGTCGGGGGCGAAACCCAAATATTACCACCAGCAGCAACAGCGGCAGGAAGAGAGGTGGTGTCAAAAGAGAGACAGCGTCCAAAGAGAGATAGCGTGGAAACAAAGC